GCACTCGACAGCGGCACGCACCGCTTGGCAGCAGCACGCACCGCATAGCAGCAGCACTCGACAGCAGCACGCACCACACAGCAGCAGCAAGGTGAGACGCACGCGCCAACGGTAGAGTGGGGCCCACACGACAACTCATCCAGGTGGGCCCACACCTTTCCGGCCCCAGCAGCCCTGCTCGCCAACACCAGTTGTACCCTTCCCTTATCCCCTATTTTTGTGTTCCCCTTAGAAGTAGGAGTTTGAGTTTCGATAGAAGTTTAAGTTGTGATAAGAGAGAGACTACCCTAGTTGAATACAAGAAGGAAACCCTCATGTAATCTCCTATTTAAAGGAGTTTTGAATTTTGAACAAGACATTGAATTTTCGATCAAGGAAGTGCTTAGGAGAGTTAGGGTGATCTCTTGAACAAATCACCTCCCTCAGTTCACCACCATAGGGTCAACTCGCAAAGGGAAGGGCAAGGGAAGGCAAGGAGTTTTCCCCACAAACCGCCCCGTAACGAGATCCTATGCTCGGGCCCATAACAGCACTCCTCCTCATCCCCACCCTGTAGTCAAGACATTCTACCCATCCCTACTCCGTACTGTGACCGGCAAGATCGGAGCAATACTCTAGAATCGGCTGAATTTGATTTTAAACATAAAATACCACATATTTTCAAATATACCCAAATATTGTGTTCCAAGACAAAATATTGATTTAATATGTTATGACAAAAACACTTATTTTTCAATTTCCAATGCCCTAAAATATACCACACCATCATTATATTGAACATTATAAAAAAAAAGTGTGGTAAATTCAGAAAAACTACTATTTTATATACACCTTAGTGGGTTCAGCTAGACCACACTACAGTTTCTGTGGGCCGACTACAAAGCACCCTAAATAAATTTTGGGCTCCACTATCATACGGAAAAAGCTTTGCGACCAATAAACCACTATCACGAAAGTGGTAATCATGTTCAAGGGGTTTGGGTTTTAATTGGGAAAAGTCCTTCCGGCACAATAGATTATCATTGTTTTTCTTTGCTTTCATTTCTTGATGATAGTTTTCATTCTTTACATGCTTTGAAGCTAAGAACCACTTCAACAGTGATTTCAATCTTCAAGTTTCAGCTATTTACATATTTCAACCAAATACCCACTTAACTTCAGTACACACGGTTGTTTGAATTATTATTATGACTACAAAGTAATGATTTATCAAGTGCTAAATAAAATAATTCAACCGTTCCTGCCTCCTCGCGCTATGATGGATGGGGATTATGAATTGTAGGGAACGTTTCACTTCAAAATTCAGAAAATAAAAAATCTTTTTAGTTTTTTCAAATCTTTGGATACACATTCTCATAAAAGCTTTTTCGCCATTTACCACTCTTTCTTCTTCTTTTTTTTTTCTTTTCTTTTAATTTACTTTTCTACACAATCACACCACAGGGGCACGGACGTTGGTAGCTGAGTGTCTTTTGAACTAGATCGGCTTCCATCAGGGCAAATCTGTTCCCACAACGTTTTAACAGCTTATTGCAATCTTCCCATTAAAAAAGCACATAAGTGCTGAGATATATTCAAAGCAAAAAATAAAGACTGTTTGAACGGGGACTGAACCCACCAAATTCCCATTGGACGATATAACTACTTTGAGAAATTCATTTACCAATTTTGATTTATAAAATTTCCACACCACATGAAGATGATTCCCCAAATTTGCAATGTCAACAGGCTCCGTTGCTATTTGCTAAGGTCTCTGGTTACTTGTAGTAGTGGTGATTTGCCATCGAATCTCACTCGCACCAGTGATATTGATGGGATTAGGCTATATATAAGCAAAAACTCTATGCACAATGAAAGCATGTGAATCGCCCCATAGTTCCATACATTGGAAGCATCAACCCATGGCATTTGGAAAATTGAAAGTGAGTTTTCATCTAACTTGGCTTATGAAAAACCACTTTTTTATATGCGCTTTTTGAGAAGGTATCTCTTGCTATTCAGCTGATTACCTGCTTTTTGATTTGGATAAATTAAAAGGACCCCCTGTACTTTGTTTTGTCACAAAGACCCCTCCTGTACTATGACCATAAGACAAAAACCCTCTTCCGTTTGTTTTTTTGTTGAAATCTGCTGTTGCACTAATTTTTAATCCCCGTACTACTCTTATAATAATTATTCAGACAATTGAAAAAAATACTGTTCATCTTTATCAATCTTACATATAAATAATGCAAATGCAGACATCACTGCTTCTCTCTCATCCCCTTTCTTCTTCCCGCTTTCCCCTTTCCCCTTGCGGAGAAATATTTGCAAAAACCGTCTTCTTTGCCTCAACGGAAAAGGATTGTTACATGCTAATTGATTGTAGATGTTTTACTGAGAAAGATAAATAAAATATTCCCCTTACTCATGTGAATTAATTTTAATTAATATTTGAAATTATTTAATAAAATAAATAAATTAAAAAAAAATAAAAAGGGGATCAGGACTCAAGGGGAGTATGGGCGCATGGCGAGGTGGATTAGAGTTTTGACCCATCAGACTCTTCAGAGAACATTGAGTAGGGAGTGAGCTATACTATTTCAAAGCTGCTCTGCTTACTTTCGCTTGATTTCAAAGCTGCTCTGAGTTTGATGAGAGGCGTTATTGATCTCAATACCGTCACTGACGATGATGACAATGCTTCGGCGGTGATCGAGTGTGGACCTGCTTCGCTTTCGTCGCCGTCGTCTTCGTCGGCTTCAGCTTCCCCCGCGTCTGCTTCACTGTGCTCGTCGTCGTCATTGCCGTCGGCGGTGGGGGGTGCGGTGTGTTTGGAGCTGTGGCATGTTGTGCGGGGCCGCTTATATCGTTGCCGGAAAAAAGGGAGTATTGTCATGTACTTGCCGCAGGGGCACCTGGACCAAAAATGACTGCTGGTAATTGCAGATGTTTCTCTCCTCCCCTTTCTTCTTCTAGCTTAACCTTCCCCTTTCCTCTCTCTTACACCGATGACCAAATTGGAAAGACGGTGGCAATAATCGTTGGAGTACTGGCAGCGCTCGTTGGAGTAAATGGTTTCCTTCGTCCTTTCATTTGGAGAGTTGTGAGAGAGAAAGAATGAAAAAGTTTAGAAAAAAAAATAGAAAATAGAAAAAGGACAAAAAAAATAAAATAAAAAAAGTTTAGTGAGAAATTTTAGTAATTTAATGCATTCCGTCATCTAATTTAGCGGTGAAGGGTCCTTTTTCTCAGGGTCATAATACAGGGGGTTCTTTGTCACGACCCCATAGTATAGGGAGATCTTTGTAATTTGCTCTTTTGATTTAAAATAGCATCTTTCAAACGTGAAAAATTAAATGATATTTAACTGATTATATGCTTTTTCATCAAATGGCATTTGAATTCTCCAACCTAAGAAGAAAATTACAGAAAAAATGAATAAATAAAACAAAAACGTTAGGAAATTAAAAGCACTCCCAAAATTAGGCCAAGTGACCATCTCAACTATTAGGACATTCCTCTTGCAGAAATAATTTTGACAAATCAATTCCTCCAACAAAACATCCATAGAGGAGTTCAGCTCTGCTACCTACTAATGCTCCCAAATGTCCCAACCAACCACTACGGCCATTTCATGAATGACAAGGGAAATGTTTTACATTTGTAATGGTTTGTTGGGTGTAGTGTTGGGAGCATTCTATAATAGATATATACCAAAGAAGGTAGAGTTTTAACAACAAGACATGGGGTGTTTATATAGACTCCAAATCTCCTATCCACAATAATTCTATCCACATCTACCCACAAAATAATACCTCCGTGCATCGGGAATATCTCCCATACATATTAATATATACGAGGATGAGATATTCTCATGTATGGCTGAATTGGGATCTGCTTCTCACATAGCATGTTTCACACTTACTTCACAACTACATCCCACCTTATATTAGGAACATCTCTCTAAAAATAATAAATTCAAGGATGAGAGATGTTCCTGATGTACGACCAGGACATGCTGTGAGGTTGGTGTGGAAAATGCAGTATGAGGAGCAGATTTGGACTCACTAAGAGACTGGATCTGCTCTTCACGTGGGGCGTCTCACACCGACTTCCTTACCATGCATTGGGAACAGCTCCCGTACTTATAAGTTATTATTCACGGGAGATGTTCCCAATGCACGGTGGATGTGCGTTTGAGGTGCCACTATATAAGGAGTAGATCTCAATCCCCAGACTAAATAGACTATAATATCTCATCAAATCAAACCCCCCCAACAAATAGTACACCTAGCTCAATCAAAGTTAAATGCACAAATGACCTGACCCACACCTGAAGGGGAAGGGAGGTTATGATATAGATTTTACGGAAAAGTACGGATAGACCCAATGCAGATTTCTGATTTCCGCTGCAAAACTGTAAACATTCAAAATGGCAACAACCCACACTCTATGCACCAACGCCCGCTGTGAGTTGGCATTAATTCCAAGTTGACACCTACCCCAAGAGTACTTTGTGCCTATAAGTTCTAACCCTCGGCTGAACCGTCTTTCTATATTTTACCCCTCTACAAAAATATCCTCATTTATATATATATATATATATATATATATATATATATATATTAAGATGGAAATGAAAAATTGATAATGTGTGTAGGAAAAAAATAAAAAAAAATGAGATAATAATTTATTAATAAGGATATTTTTATCAATTCTATAGTATATTTTAGAAGCAAATGCCCTTAATATTTTTACTAATAACGTCACCTTGATAAAATACCAATTTCCACCTTGGTTTCTCTTCTTTTGTAAATTGTAATGACAGAGCTTATATGGAGGGAAGAAAAGGCAATTCGATTAATTCATCACTTTTCCGAGTTACACTGTCAACGCACTTACCGCGCGCGTGATATATATCTATCATGTTTGCAACTAAACAAACTTAGCAACTACCCTTCCTTCATTTGCTTCGTTTCTGGCGTCCAGATTTGGAGAAGTGCAGGAAAACAGAATAAAATAAAGAGCAACTCCATGATAATTCTTTACTTCAAAGCTATAGAGAATTAGAGATCTTTTCGTCCTCAACTCCCTCTCTCTCTCTCTCTCTCTGTCCAAGTCCAACCATGTACATTCCTTTTATACTTCCGCACAGGCACAGATGCCACAGACATCTATATATATAGCGTGGGACAAGAAGAAGGAAGCCTGCCTCAAAATCCCTTTGAACATGGCCACAAACATCTATTATTTGTTGCCCAATTTTGGATTTCTTTTGCTGGCTGCTTTGATGATTTTTACTCAACATTCAAGCTGCAATCATGTTGGTGTTAGTGAAGATGGCTATTTGGAAACACTGGTTGAGAGTTCGGGCTCAGAGGACCCTTTGCCCTACTCCACCCGAAATTATGGGTACCCTCCCCCTTCTCTCAGTCGCAATGAAAGTTGCATTTTTGTTTCTGAGCTCCGCCCCCATTTATTAATTTTTTTTTTTTTTTGTAACACTTGCTTGTTGATCTTAGGATTAATCATGATTTTGGTGATGATGAATGGAAAATGGTGGGGAAGAAAGGAAAGCAGTTCATCGTCAATGATCAACCCTTTTATGTAAATGGGTTCAATACCTACTGGTTGATGGTTCTCGCAGCGGATCAGTCCACCAGAGGTAAGGTCACTGAACTCTTCCAACAAGCCTCTTCTGTCGGTCTTACAGTCTGTCGGACGTGGGCTTTCAACGACGGCCAGTGGCGAGCGCTTCAGAAATCGCCGTCGGTTTACGACGAAGAGGTCTTCAAGGTATGTGTGCATGGTTTCTAATATCCCCCGGCCGGCTCTCCGGACGGACCCCAAATCCGAGCCATTGTGCTTCAATGTGCCAGACAGACATTGAAATTTTAAAAAGAAAGTCTTGTTTTTAAATGAAATTACAGGCACTTGATTTTGTGGTGAGTGAAGCAAAGAAGCATAAGATAAGGCTTATATTGCCATTAGTTAACAATTGGGATGCATATGGAGGCAAGGCGCAGTATGTAAAATGGGGAAAAGATGCTGGGTTGAATCTGACTTCCAACGATGATTTCTTCTCAAATCCCACTCTTAAGAGCTATTATAAAGCTCATGTCAAGGCAAGTTAATTTCTCCTTAATTTCTAGTGAGCACAATTCTTAATTTCACGCTCTTAGAATTATTATAAAATTGTAACGTTTTAAAAAAAATTTCTTTTCTCGCAATCAGACTGTTCTTACTAGAGTCAATACACTCACGAACGTGAGCTACAAGGATGACCCGACGATTTTCGCTTGGGAGTTGATGAACGAACCACGATGCGAGTCAGATCCCTCCGGGAATAAGTTGCAGGTGTCGTCGACTCATCCATGACGATCAATTTCCATAATCGAATATTCCCAATTCATTATTTTGTGTATTAATTCAATATTGTGACATAATGAATTCAAAACTTGCATGCATCAACGAGCAGTATTGTATTTGTATTTGTATATTATAAGTTTTGTTGAGTGGTTCCAGGTGTGACGACTCTGTTTAATTTGTAGGCCTGGATACAAGAAATGGCAGTCTATGTGAAGTCCATCGACCCAAATCACCTGTTGGAGATCGGAGTAGAAGGATTTTACGGTCCTTCAAAACCAGACAGAGTTCAATTCAACCCCAACACTTATGCACAGCAAGTAGGGACAGATTTTATCAGGAATCATCAAGCTCTTGGTGTTGATTTTGCTTCTGTTCACATCTACGCCGATTCTTGGTGAGTGAGTACTATATTATTATTATTGTCAGCTTCAATTCAATCTCAAATATATGTGAGAATTCGATAGGATTTAAAACTGATCAGTAGGGATTTGCATAAGAATGAATGAGGCATGGACATCCACACATGTATTTACTATTGCTTCTATATAATATATGCAATGCTAGCTATAATGAATGAATGGGAGCTAGACTCATGATCAGACTACAAATAATTAATAAACATCTTTGGATCCTGTTTGATTTTGATGAAGGATTTCACAATCAATCTCGGATGCTCATATCCAATTTGTGAAATCGTGGATGCAAGCCCACATCGAGGATGCTGAGACACTGGGAATGCCTGTTGTGTTTGGTGAGTTTGGTGTATCAGCAAAAGACGGTGGTTACAATTCATCGTTCAGAGACACCTTCATTAGTACGGTGTACAAGACAGTGTTGGACTCTACAAGGAAGGGAGGGAGTGGGAGCGGAACCTTTGTATGGCAACTATTCCCAGAAGGAACAGACTACATGGATGATGGGTATGCAATTGTTCTCTCCAGGTCGCCTTCAACATCTAACATTATCTCGCTTCAGTCAACAAGGCTTATGATCTTCAATTCTTTGTGTTCTTGGAATTGCCGTTGGAGTTGCAGGAAGAAAAATGCACTGCACCATTTTCTATTCCCTGATGAGTGATCCATGTTTATCTACAAACAAACTTATACATATATCATATGTGTGTCAATGTGCCTGCAGTCGTCCTACCTCCCATTATTCTAATTTCTAAATTTATATAAGTACTACTGGTCCTTGGTGGTGAATTATACATCCAAATGAAACATTAAGTTATTTAAGAAGAATCTCTCTCTCTCTTTTCAAACTCAACAGTACATTATATCCTGATCTCTACTATGTTCTTTTTTCACTATTAACCCTTAAACAGCAAATAAAAATTGAATGACCATCTTGATGTTGGGAAGAAACTAAGTTTATCCACAAACTATTTCTCTCCCAAAAATAAAAACTTGTAGATATCCAGCTATCACAATTTCAAGCAAGATATCAACAAAAACAATCATAAGCCAAGAAAAGAGAGATACACACGATATTTAACGTGGAAACCCCCTCCAATGTGAAGGGTAAAAAACCACGGGGCCAAGGAGACTCAACCAAAAATCTCCACTAATAACTTGAGGTAACAATTACAACAACTCAAACACTACAATATGCTCACAAACTTAGAGCAAATACAGATTCTCAAACATACAAACGAGAATACAAAAAACGGTGAAAATAACAGTCATAAAAACTCACAAACGCGGCTACTGTTCAGGCCACAACATGGAGACCTTCACTACTCCAAATCAGATCTCCATCGTTTAGATCGTAGGCTATGAGTTTCAAACAATCTCACAAAATTTCAGCTAAATCGAACCACAAATGTCCCTTGATCAGAGTAATTGATGAAGACTGCCGTGAGATGTTTTCTTTTCCCGAACAACTACGAGTTGATTCTGTTCGACCTCAAATAACCGGCGATTCAGAGCTCCAATCAAAGATCCGACCGTTCAAAATGAAACAAAATGAGTCATCCACTTACTGTCCAAATTTCTGCTCGATCGGACAGTGGATCGGAAAGTTCCGGCCGTTTGATGAACTCTGCACATTGAGAAATCTGCACAGTATTTCGATTTCTCTCTTTTTCTCTCTCTTCAACACGCCGCGCGCAAAAAATATCTAACCCTAGTTTTTGTTTTTGTTTTTTGAAAAACAAAAAAAACAGTTGGCCTAAGGAGAGTGGGCTATAATATGGGTCAATATCCCATAATGGGTTGGGCCCAACAATTCTCCCCCTCCAGCCCATGAGAGAAGGGAGACACTTTAAAAAAAGGCAACTATGCAAATTTAAGGCCGGCTGCTCCGGCACACAGTTCAAGCTTCTCTCGAGGCACCACTTTTGTCATCATGTYARCARCATTTTTGTYAGTGTGAATCTTTTCAAGTTCAATCAACTTGGAGTTCAAAACATCTCGAATCCAATGATATCTTACATCAATATGCTTCGATCTATTATGAAATGTTGGATTCTTACCAAGATGAATAGCACTTTGACTATCACAATATAAGACATACCTCTATTGAGTGAAATCAAGTTCATGCACAAACTTTTTCATCAACAGCATCTCCTTACATGCTTCAGTAATAGCGATGAACTCAGCCTCAGTCGTAGACAATGCAACACACTTCTACAACCTAGACTGACAGGCCACAACTCCCCCTGCAAAGGTAATGAAATAACCAGAAGTAGACTTTCTAGAATTAACATCCCCAGCCATGTCTGAATCTGTAAAACTATAAAGAATAGGTTTCCCAATTCCAAAACAGAGTTTTAAACTAGAAGTACCCCGGAGATATCTCAATATCTACTTCACAGCAGTCCAATGTTCTCTACCTGGATTGGATAGAAAACGATTAACAACACCAACTGCATGAGCTATATCAGGCCTTGTGCAAACCATTGCATACATTAAACTTTCTACTGTAGATGCATAAGGAATACGTTGCATTTCTCCTTTTTCTTTATCACTAGAAGGAGTTTGTCTAGTACTAAGCTTAAAGTGTAAAGCAAGAGGTGTACTTACCACTTTAGCCTTATCCATATAAAACCACTAAAGTATTTTCTCAATATACTTCTCTTGAGATAACCACAAATTCTTGGCCTCTCTGTCATGAGTAATCTGCATGCCAAGTATATGTCTTGCTGGTCCTAAGTCTTTCATTGCAAAAGACTTACTAAGCTCATTTTTCAACCTGTCAATTCTAGAACAGTTATGACCAACAATCAACATGTCATCAACATAGAGCAATAAAATGGTGAAGTCATTATTAGAAAACTTCTGCACAAAAACACAATGGTCTGAGGTTGTCTTCTTGAATCCCTGCTGGATCATAACAGACTCAAACTTCTTGTATCATTGTCTCGGGGCTTGTTTCAACCCATATAGACTTTTTTCAATCTGCAGATATAGTCTTCTTTACCCTTCACCACGAAACCTTCTGGTTGTTCCATGTAAATTTCCTCCTCCAAATCACCGTGAAAGAAAGCAATTTTTACATCCATCTGCTCAACCTCTAAATCAAGACTGGCTGCCAAACCAAGAACAACTCGGATAGAAGACATTTTGACAACAGGCGAGAAAATCTCCTCAAAGTCAATTCCCTTTTTCTGACGATAGCCTTTGACAACTAATCTAGCTTTGTATCATGGATTAGAAGTATTCTCCTCAGTCTTTAACCTGTAAACCCACCGATTTTGCAAAGCTTTCCTGTCCTTAGGCAACTTGACCAGCTCAAAAGTATGGTTGTCAACCAAAGAATTCATCTCATCATTCATAGCGGCAAGCCATTCTTTCTTGTGCTCAGACTCCATAGCCTCTTTGTAGCAATCAGGTTCTCCCCACTTTGTTGGGAAGAAACTAAGTTTATCCACAAACTATTTCTCTCCAAAAAATAGAAACTTGTAAATATTCATCTATCACAATTCCAARCAAGATATCAACAAAAACAATCATAAGCCAAGAAAAGAGAGACACACACGATATTTAACGTGGAAAACCCCTCCAATGTGAAGGGTAAAAAACCACGGGACCAAGGAGACCCAACAAAAAATCTCCACTAATAACTTGAGGTAACAATTACAACAACTCAAACACCACAATATGCTCACAAACTTAGAGCAAATACAGATTCTCAAACATACAAACGAGAATAYYAAAARCRGTGAAAATAACAGTCMGAAAAACTCACAAACGCGGCTACTGTTCAGGCCACAACATGGAGACCTTCACTACTCCAAATCAGATCTCCACCGTTCAGATCGTAGGTCTGTGAGTTTCGAACAATCCCACCAAATTTCAGCCAAATCGAACCACAAATGTCTCTTGATCAGAGTGATTGATGAAGACTGCCGCGAGATATTTTCTTTTCCCGAACAACTATGAGTTATTTCTGTTCGACCTCAAATAACCGGCGATTCAGAGCTCCGATCAAAGATCCGACCGTTCAGAATGAAGAAAAATGAGTCATCCACTTACTGTCCAAATTTCTGCTCGATCGGACGGTGAATCGGAAAGCTCCGGCCGTTTGACAAACTCTGCGCACTGAGAAATCTGTACAGTATTTCGATTTCTCTTTTTCTCTCTTCAACACGTCGCGCGCAAAAAAGATCTAACCCTAGTTTTTGTTTTTCTTTTTTGAAAAACAAAAAAAACAGTTGACTGAAGGAGAGTGGGCTATAATATGGGTCAATATCCCATAATGGGCTGGGCCCAACACTTGAGAGCCTTGAGAGCAGCATTTTAATTTATGAGTCTGCACCTACCGGTAAGAACTAAGAAGCAACACAACAGCTCTGGCCACATCACAGTTGTGTGTCTGTGTCCTCAACGGATGATTCCGATATCAGAATTGTTAATACTTGCTAGCACATTGTATTTAAAAATTAAAACTTGATATGATACAACTACAAGTTAGGATTTCAATAGTAAATTATTTAGACGATTGAATCCCATACAAGTAAAGAATTTTACAGCCTTTCATTTTCTGCAAGAGTGAATAGTCAGTCACTCAGTTCCCTCTTGGCTTGGAAGGTTGAGATTTCTCTGTCATACAATTTTTACAAGTTTCCCCAAAATATTCTTCTTTCGTTTTTTGAGAATTAGCCCAGATATAGAAAAAAAATTAAACCCCAATACACCTCAAAAGATTCCCACGTCTCCTCCAAAAATCTTGCTTGTTTGTTAATTATTATCACATCTCTAATCTCTAATCTCTAATCTCTCCTCCGGAGTTAAAAGGCTAAAGCTCTGAGTCTCTAACCGTGTCTTCCGAAGATATATATATATATATATATATATATTAATTACCCATTAAATACTTCCAAGTTCTGATGGAGAAGTTCAGCTTCAGTCAGCGCAAACCTGTGCTTATACAGTTCAAACAGCCTCTTGCAATGCATCAGGAGTATTTTCCCATGAAATAAAGCATATAAGTACAGAGATATTCTCAATGTAAGGCTGTCAAGTATGCGCTGAGAATGTTTGAATTTAGCTAACTACAGATTAGTTAATGTATTAAAAATATTAAACGAGAGAAAACAAACAATCATATATATATACATATATAGCCAATTGGACCATGGCCCACTATACTAGGCCCATCAAGATTCATGAGAATGTTTATAACCATATACGCATATATTGTCACTCACTCACTTGTGGATCAAGCAACAGAAGAAGATATGCCCTGCCCGCCGTGCAACTAGTCCAAGCCTTTCCCATAACCATTGGTGGGCCACCAATCCAAAGTCTTATATGCATGCTCATTTATGGAATCTAACTCCTAGAGCTTGGAATTGGATGGTTTATAGTGAGTGAATAAATAGTTGTAATAAAAGCCCATGAATTTGGTTTGAATGATCAAGGTAAATAAATTCACTATCATCCACAGAAAAGTGGGTAAGAGTATGACCCAGATTGGAAATGGAGCTACCTGTATCGGGATTCGGGAAGAACAACTAAAAGGCAAAAACTGTCTCTTATTATTAGTTCTTACATATGAAAATAAAAATGATATTTCCTAATTTTCTGAGTATCAGGATGAGGAGCGCATGGAGAGGTGTTTGAGTGATGAGCATCTTAATGTAGGATTTGTCATGTCATTACAAGGTATGAAATTAAGAAAACGACCACCATCAAAGTGGCCCAAGATCCGACCAACGATTTTTCAATTCAATTACTCATGCCTCTGAGATAAAATGACTTTTTATCATTTACCACAAAGAAGACTTTTATCATGATAGAGTCATTTGAGAATTTATCATCATTTTAAGCATTGTACTTTCAGCTTACTACAGCATGGGATCAGGTTTTTAAACTATTAATAGTAAAAAGATGAGGAAACAAAGATTAGTCAGAATGCATAAATTGAAAATTAAGTCATACTGGATGAAAAGGTGTTAGGAATAGTGTAGAGTGTCTTCCCAAGATCCAAATTGAAGGTTTTATTGATTAAATATTCTTTCTGATTGATTGTCAAGAAATGCTCAACTGGTGTGGTGTAATCAAACTTCAGCATATAGCAGAGATATCATAAGGTGGATGCATGGGAATAAGGTCCACTGAGGAAGATGGACCTTGTGTCAAGTGCATCCACCTCCCTACAATGTTGCCATTTTGAACTAAAACATTAGTATTAGAAGAAATGGGAAATTAGGGAAAAGAAGGATCTGCAATACATGCATTACTGGGTAACTCGCTACTTGCTCAAGCTTAGTTTTGAAAGAACAGAGGCTGCCTGGTCACCACCCAGCAAGAAATATGGATGTCTCAAAGCAGCAGAAGCTGATAACCGACCTCGTCTGAGGAATCCTCTCTCTGAAATAAGCTTTGTAGCTAGATCCCATCCTCTACCAGAGTCAAGATCTAGAAGCTGTAAATTAGGCCTCAACCGAGTGAACTTTCTCCATTTGTTCAGATCATATCCAACTTGCTTTATCTCTGAATTGAAATTCTTTAGACCTGCCGCAGACCTCAAGGTAGGTATCGCCATTTGCAACAGTATAATGCCAGCAGAATACATATCAAATAGGTCGGGACTATTAAACTGCATCAACCATGAAATATCTCACTTTAGTACCTCAAAGAATGACCAATGTTTTTAAAACGAGAGAGAACCAGGTGGTCAGACTGGGTAAAAACAGATCAGGTACTAGAGTAGTCTGGCCAGGTGATCAACATCAAACCAAGATGGTTCAACCAAAAAAGAATAGAGTAATGCACCTGTCCAGATGGTGGCTTGACTTCAAAAATTCATTTTTGTTTTATTTATTAACCCTATTTTTGAGTGTCATTTAACCATTTTTTCTGCAGGGTTCACCATAGTCAAATCAATGGCATATTCAGTTCACTGATCTGTCTGTTTTTTTAAACATTGGTACTGATTATATGAACTTTATTCACATATTCACTTATTGTGGACATTTAATCTTGTTGATTCTAAACCTATGATACCCAGATACCTGTACAAGGGTGCAATATGTATCAGATACTTCAATTTCAAGTGTAAATTACATATCTGACACCATATCCTGGCCTTATCATATCTATGTGACATAAATTCGAACATAGAATTCCATTAGATATAACCAAACTGCTCAGCCAACTTCTATGCATACCAGTGCTACATTCACCAAAATGCCAATTGGATGCTTAGGATCTAAACTCACACACGACAACCACCTTAGATCTTCTCTAGGAAGAAAGAGCACAGAAAACTGTAATACCTGCCAGAGGATTGGAGAAAGAAGAGCTGCAATGGGCTCCGGAGGTGGCTTAGGTGTTTCTTCAGGAAGCACATAAAGTTCAGGAGGGCAGTAATCTGGGTCAAGAAGTCCACGGTTTGGCACATAATTCTTCCCAATCCGAAGGTCTGTGGCTGCCCCAAAATCTATAAGCTTGATCTGCCCCTTCTTTGTCACCACTAAGTTGGATGGTTTTACATCCCGGTGCACAATACCTGTGTCATGGATCTTCTTGAGAGAATTTATGATTTGACGCATTATCTGTTTGATGATCAGTGAATTCCGTTGGAGAGAATCTAATCCTTGCAAGACACGGCCGAACATAATGGACTCTAAATTTAAAGGGAAGTTGCGATCTTTCATATAATCAGCCAGGCTTCGATCCCCCTGGGACATGGGTGTCTCAATAATAAGTATGACAAAAATAAGCAGTCTATACTTGCATAAACATAGCATATTTTGGTTTTGGAAAGTTAAAAGAAGCCTGATCAGATTCTGTAGAAAGGAGAAAAATACAAGGAGTGTATAAATATGCAAGTGAAACATCACAACATCATATGCATTTGGCATTTAACAACATGATAGTTTCTTGAAGAAACAATAGAAATTTTCTGTGATCATAGTAGCATTAATAAGGGCCATTACCCTATGTTGGTCCTGGCTATCCAGAGTTTTGAAGGGCTAGACTTGGATTGGATATGGACTTGACCCTTTTGGGATTTTTTGCACAATTTGACCTCTCTCCGATCCAGATCTGTACTCTCATGCTTCTCAGCCCAACATTTTACCATTGGACATGATGCCCAATCATGCCATTACCAACACTAAAGCAAATAAATAATTGTTACAAACTTTGAAAAGTAGTCTGAATTTTTATGTGACAATAGGTGAAACAAGATTCATGTATCCAACCCCATATAGTAGGGATAAGGCTTGGATGATGATGAATATCTGTATTTGTGGGTTCAAAATGTCCATGATCATCAATTCAGAGCATTCAATATTAGACTATTATCCCTTAGTTCAGCCTACACCAAACTCCTACTCCTCACAACTCAGAGACTCCTGGTTATCAATCAGTGCTAACTGCTGAATATGAAAAACCGGAGATATGTTTTTCCATTGTCTAAATGAAGGCTCTTAATTAGATGTTCAGTAATGCTTTTAAATGTCACTTTGGGGCCATATTTTAATTGGAATGATTATCCTAGTTGCCTTATGGAATCCTATAAGCTCTATAGAATCTAAATAGATGAAAAATTGGAGATATGTTTTCCACTGTTGAAATGAAGACTCTTACTTTTTTTTTTTTTGGTGGGGGGGAGGGGGTGAAAAGCATATGAAAAAAAACAGTGGAAATGAAGGCTCTTACTTAGATGTTCAGTAATGCTTTTTAATGTCATTTTCGAGGCCATACTGTAATTGAATTGAATCAATTGATTACCCTCTGTGCTTGATATTTGATAGATAGACTGAAAGTGTACCTCAAATTTCCAAACAAGCCATTTTCCTCCCTTTGTGAATTGTGAGCTTGTTTTATCGGCAACAAAACTCCCAAGGAACTCAGCGCATGTTTCAGGTGCTGCTCTCGATAGCCTATAGTTAAACCACTCCTCAAAATCACCGCATTCTTCAGCCCCTTTTATTCCAACCTTCACCTGCTAGGTTATTGAAAGATAAGAAATAAGCAAAATAGAAGCATGACAGCGGGAGCAAATATGCATCCTTCAGTACTAGAGAACCTTGGAAAAACCCAGAGCTCTAGTCATCATTAAGAAATTTGCACAAACAAGAACTGCAATTCACACATACAATCCAGATAAGTTAAGGGTCCCATTTCTTTTACTTGGTAAAAAAAGGTATAGTTCAAAAATAACGAAAATAAATCAGCATCCCTCTATTAATTTGATGAAAGCAATGAAAATTTCTGTGACACGACAATCGCCTGAAAATCTCAAAATGGCCACCAAAATTTTCAATACAACCAGCATGCACCTTCTTTGAGGTCGGGGTGGGGGGCCTGGGCTGGGGATTATGGAGAGGCAATAAAAAAATTAACAAAACTCATTTTCATCCTGAAATGATGTACAAGAGACTCAGAAAAAGAAAAGAAAAGAAAAGAAAAAAAACTTTTGGGAAAGGATGTGCAAGCACCAAAAATGAGAAATTTTTAAGATAAGCCCTAAAGATTAACGGTTCCTAAGACACATTACCCTTTTAAGAATTTCTACTGAAAAGAAATTACCTTTTTAAGAATAACCTTTTGCTTCACTTTGCCATCTATTTCTAATGCTTTTGCCTTCTTCTGCACTCGATCTTCTATACTTAAACTTTTCGGAACAACTACACCGGAATAAACAATACCAAAAGATCCTTCTCCCAATCTATCCCCTATAACGAAGTCAGTCCTCTTCAAGCTCCTTCTTCCCAGTAAGCTATCAAAACCCAGTTGCAAAGGAGCTAAAAGATACGCATCAATGGCGCCCATGAGAACACCTGGCCTTGCAGTCAGGTAAACCCAACTAAGACCAGCAAAAACCAGAATGCTCCATCTCTGTGCTTCTGGTATATCTTCAGAAACTATCTGAATTTGCGAAAGCCCGGATTTAACGAAAGGGAATAGAGTCACTAGTTCATCAAAATGAAGAGTATTCTTCAACAGATCGTCAGAGATAGTGCCGAACAATGCATATTTGCACTTTCCCGGGTATTTTGTAGAAGAGCCTGTGAATGAGTAAAGGTGATTTGGGGAGATGGGTTTCGTAGGAGAGAGCCATGGAAATTTGGGGTTCCAATGGAGGGCAGTTGCAGCTGGGGAAAGGAGAGATGCCATTGGTGCTTGCTGCTTGCTCGAAGGGAAGGATGGGCTGGCTGAGTCCGGTATTTTTTCTAAAGAGATTCAACACAAAGTGTCAGCAGAGGTTGCTTTTTTGCCACGTGTCAGTTACAGGTTTATCCATGACCATGAACCCGGTTAGTAAATTGTGGTTTGCTGTATGTTACTACTCTTCTTCGTCAACACACCCTCCTCACGACACTGTCCAGTCGTGCACCGGGAACATCTTCGTCCGTGCATTAGGAACATTTTCGTACTTAGGGAAGATGTTCCCGATGCACGGCTGAAAAGTTTGTGAGGGCTGCTGAGTATCAAATTTGTGAAGATGAAATCTGGATTTGGCAGACAAATTGGCAATTGTATACTTTCTAGGAATTCGGATTTGTTCGTAAATTTAAAAGTTATAAGATATGTTTATATAATTTAATAAAATTATAGGATATATTTAAGTAAATAACCTTTTTCAGCTGCAGGCTTCCCAGCTATAAAACAGTGTGGAAAAAGAAATAAAAACCACTAGAAACTAGCTAATGATCCCGTACTTAGCACGGGATAACTATACGTAAATAGTTTGTTTCGAAAGCATTTAGGCTGGCTGGATTTTTAATTTTACATAACAGACTTTATCTAAAAGGATGGAAACTATAACAAGACCAATATAACATCTAAAATGCCTTCTATGGTGTTAATTGTTTATTTATTTAATATTAAAAAAAAACTAAACTAAACTGCAGTACTACGTACATTTGATTTGTTATTAAAGGATCAGAACCTTTTAAATATTGTTTTTCTAAACTAAGATACAACAGGATTTTGGAGAGAGAATAGGACCCAGCCGAGTCTTAAATCTTGATACATTTTAATAAGGTTTATATATTCTAGTGGTAAAAAAAATTCTAAAAAGACTGATAAGTAAGAAGGTTATTTACCTTTACGCTTTGGCTTGAAAGAAAAGGTCGTTTACCCTTTTGGCTTTTTCTTTGAAAGTTGAAACCAAACACAGCCTTAAATTTTCTGATAACCTAGGACTAGGTGGCCTCAGTCCTCACGTAAGTGAACCCATACCATACATATTGAAGGGGCTTCCCGCTTCCTTTGGACTTTGGACCGGCAGCTGGAGAATCCAGTTCCAGCAGGCAGCAGAGGAGGCATACTAGCCCAGCGCTCTTCGAAGTTGGCAACACAATGTTTCCCAGCAACTTGGGGATGAAAGTTTGGTTGGATTTCCCATGCCTCAAGTTGATTGATTTGGGGCAGGGAAAATTTATTTTCTTGGGTGTCACTTATCTGAATTGTGTCCTGGAAATTATAAAAGTAGGATACTATGGTATAACTTAAGTACATAAAACAAGTTAATAAAATAATGGCGATGATAAAACATATGAAATAAACCATTTATACCTGAGTTGTGTCTTAGAAATTATAAAAGTAGGGTATTGTGCACAAAACCCAATAAATGATTTTTTATTGTTATTTAAGACACTTAGGTGCTATTAAGCACTATATTGGATAAAAAAAGGTGAAACTTTTATTGAGAGCAAAAAAACATAAAAAACATATTTTTACATTATTTGGGTAAATGATACTGAGAAAAATAAATTTTTCCTGATCTCCACATAAATCTGAAAAAAGAACATGAGATTCTTGGTCAGTGGGAACCAAAATCCCATTGACCAACTTTTCCCCCTCAAAATCCGAAAAAAGAACGCCTCCTAAATTTCCATTTTCCACTAGTTAATGACTAGTACAGAGCCTACGGACTAGTCATTCCATTGGTTTATTCATTGTATGCATTACCCTTAACATGTTGGCACGGCAGTGGCACAGGTGGTCCATGGGCCACTAACTTAATGATGTATTGAAACATGCAATACATGGCCTACAGATTTGGACAAGGCATGAGCGGGCATGCTGACTCATGCACGGTAGGTGATGATTAGGCCATGCAGTCCATCAGGGGCATGGGCGGCACAGCTAGGCAAGTTGATGCAAGCAAGTGCCTGAAACAAGCGTTTGGTGCACAAGCGGATTGGTAGACTTGACAAGACCTAGTGTACAGGCGGGCTGATGGACTCAGCATGGGCTTGGTGCATAGGCAGGCCGAGCAGGTGCCTAGTGCACAAAGGGACTCAACGAGTGCTTGGCTAGAACAGGGCCAACGCCCAGGTGTAGGCAGACATGCGCCATGACATAGGCGGCACAGTCATGTTGCAGCACATGGGTGTGGACATTGGGGCAAGTTGGTAGGCCAGACTTGCACAGATGTATAGTGATGCCCAGGGGGACCTTAACACAGGATGTGGCTAAGGGCTTGGCACACGCCATAGGCGAGCCAGATGCCTTAGGCATATGGGTGCAAGGGGCAAGCATACTCTATTGACAAGCACAATGACATTATTGTAATTATGGACAATATGATAGTTCAGAAAAGTGATGTTATCTCCTGGCAGAGGGCCAAAATCTTAATGTACTCTTTTGGGGAGGGTGTGGACTTTCCACGGGTAGCACCGGTGGTAGGTTGGGTTCCCATGCCAAGGCTAGGTGGGGCTATGTGCGGAAGCAGTAGTGCACATGACACGATGGCCTAGTTGGACTGACACACTCGGTGCTAGGGTGTTGCGCAAGCGACTTGATGACGGCGTACACACACAACAATGGCTCCACTCCGCCACCCCCGGCTCTGCCCCTACATGTCCGGTTTGATTTTTTGTAATTGTTGTACAGGCCCGTTGTAGGGCAGTGTAACAAATGTCTTATGAGGCACAACGACTTTGTACCTGAGGTCTATTTAAGGCTACATCTAGGATGTTTGGGGGAATCTTGGGTGAGAGCAAACACCAAAATTGTGTAGCAATAATATTGGGTGGCAACCCTTAGATAAGATTGTGTGTGACCCAGTGTGCGATTGTATGCGTTGTGACTATTTGTTGTGGTGCCTTTGGGCTAGGTGACTGAGGGTTCTATGTAGGCTGACTATCTGACTTCAGTGGCAGATAGGCTGACTATGTAGTGGCTACTTGGGCCGCAAGGTGCAGACTTTTCAATAGGCGAAAATTTTGACCCTGTGACATCAAGCCCTAGCATTTTCAATTAACTGTGGCAAAAAAAAAAAAAAATCAAAGAATTGCCTGACTCTCCCATCAATGTGGTTTTAGGAGTGGGAAAAGAAATATGGAGAAGCAAATTTGCCCTTTATATCAATTGCACAAAAGTAAAATTGCAACTTTAGATTTTTTTTTTGTTTTCATAAAGTTTGTATTATTTTTCTGCATACAACAGCCTCAATAGTAATTGTATGGGTATTTTGGACATTTTCATGTCCCTTTTTGGAGGATTCTAACGGAGGGGGTCTACATGCAACTATGTTATAACGTTCAGGGGAGGTGATTGCAATTACCAAACTATAGGGGATTTTTTAGCTAGGGGTGAGCAAGAAAAACTGAAAACCAAATCAAACCGATGAAATCGAATTGAAAATTCTAGTTAACTGAATTGGTCAGTTTGGTATTTTTAAAAGATCGAAGGTACCAGTTTAGTTTCGGTTAACCAATATAGAAAATCGACGTTTAACCAAACAAACCAATATATATTTCCATATATTTTTATGTATATTTATGTATATTATATATATTTTATATTTTCTATATATTATAAATTAATAAATATGCATTATATAAGGGAAAATTAACTATCCTTATCGTTTAGCTAATCGACTAACTCTATCCTTATTGTTCACATATTATCTTAGGGTACCCCTTAGTTTTATAACAATTGTTTAAAACCTACTTGCCATTAATGCTATTAATGGAAAATAATAAAAAAACTATTTTACACATTATTCTCCTTCAAATTTTCAAAATGAAACAAGGTAAAATTTTTCACTCCAGAATCTATCACAGGTTGGTGTTCGACTTCTTTTCCTCCTTGCCTTCTCCACAGTGATAACCTTAGACTCAGTTTGGAAGCAGTACAAATGCAAATATGAACAGCATAAATACATACAAAATATAAGGTTTTACATGCTACATATTTGCATTTGTACTCCTTCCAAACTCGGCATTAAGTACTGAGCGATCCATACACTTGATGCAGCGATCAGCCTCTTGAACCCAAAGCCACGAGACTCTCTTGTCCATGGATCTACAATAAGATGAACATCTATAACCGTTCCTGTCAGTTGAGCACTGCACATTGTGGGCGCTGACAAGAAAGTAAAGCTAAGCTTCCTGTAGGTCAGAAGATCGACTACTATCCCGGCTTAAAAATCTATATTTCTTGGATGCCAACGCTAATAAGATCTTTGGGCATATCGACAAACTTCTCGGGGTCCTTGGTTGAGCTTTCGATGGGAAACAACTATCTACAAGGACCTTTTCCAACGAACAACTATTAGACCAACTATTGCCGTGCACTGAAGGTTGATTTTTCCAACGATTTACAATGATCCTTTCCTTGCCACTTCGTCGACTAGTGGGTGGGGCCACTAATTTAAAATATAATATTTATAGTTTTTATTATATATTTATATATTTATTATAATATATACTATAAATATAAAAAATAAAAAATTGATAATTAACCGAATCGATTAACCCGTTAATTAATTGGCTTCGATTTGATTTCAATTACCGATTTTCTAGATATCGATAATACCAATTCAGTTTCAAAAACAGGCTCAGACACCCCTAATTTCAGCAATCCATGGAGGTTCCAGCAATTTACCGAGAACTAAATTCTAGCATGTTTAGCATTTTCCGTTGGGGTAGACAACAAAAGCGAAGTAACGTACATTTTTATTTTATTTTTTAAATATGGGGGAGGTTTTTGTTATGATTTTGATTCAATATAGGATTGGCAAGAGTTCTAGAAGGAGCATTTTTAGCTTTCTTAATATTTTGAGATGTCACGAAAAATGTTGTTATTGTAAAACAAAGGCGAAGTAATTTATATTTTATCTATGAATAATATTAATAATTTAATATATAATACTTTGATAGTATTTAATTTAATTTATTAGTACAATATAATATCCGATTGCAATCCGATTCGAATCCCATGTAAATCTCATGGATCCGATTTGAAGTTCGTTATAAACGATCTACCTTAGATCTGGATTCGATCGGTTTGCAAAGAATCGAGATCGGATTTGCTCCTCATACAGCCTGTCTAAAAGTGGCAACCGCTCAACGGTTCAATTGGCTGTCGAGGAAGCCCCATTTCATTTCACTTCTAAATTGTTTTATTTATAGAACATTTGTTCTTCTGCATTTTTTCCTCCTCCGCTGCCGGAATCCATTTGCAGGGTAGGGTTTCGTTTAAATGCTGTAGGAGCACTCCATTTCCCAACGCTCTATTTGGTTTCTATTTGTAAGTAGGTTTGTTTTGAGAGAGAAAAAAGAAACAGGCGATCCGGAGTGATCCACTTGCAGGGTAGGGTTTTGTTGAAATGCTGTAGGAATACTCCATTTCCCAACGTTCTTTGATTCCTAGTTGTAAGTAGGTTTAAGCTTTTGAGAGAGAGAAAAAAAAAGACGATCCGGAATGATCCATTTGCAGGGTAGGGTTTTTGTTGAAATAGTTGGGATGTGCTCCTCCGCTGCCATGAAGCTTTCTGCAACTAGCACTGTCCATATATACTAATGGAATTGTGCTCCACCAAGAACCAGCTTTTCGAAATTTACAAATCATCTATGGATTGAAAAGCATTACCATCGAGCACTTTGCTTATGCTTTGTTCTATACATGGATAATCTTCTTTGTAAAGGTAATTTCTCTTCTTTCCTCCCCAATTTATCCAAATAGAAAACTACCTTCTTCATAGTTATCATGGCATCTTCGATCTCGTATCCCAACTCTTTCTCTTGAATGCTCAATACCCTCTTCAGCAGCATCAATATCTTACTATCATCTGTCCCTATTCTGGTCTGAATAGATACTAAACAATCAAGGGTTTCCCCTGCCATGCAAATAGAGATAATATTATTGGAGATAATGCACATTTACTTCTGTCAAGAAATTCAAATAAAGAGCTATAGCAACCATATTTAGGATAATCACATTATTAATATCAGTTAGAATTAGTTCAGAGGGATACAGTATGACCTTTGTTGAACTATTTTTGAGTCACCAACACAATCGAGAAGGTTTTATTAACGATGCATGACTGAAAATGGGGCAAAAAAAACTTTACAGTGAACATCTGATATATGCCAAGTTACAATCTACTCTTGCATCTATTTTTGTCCTGGCCTATAGGTATCTGCTACAATTAATGAGATATGTTAATTTATCACTAAGTATTATAGAATAAATATTTATATCAGTATTTGTAGAACAAATACTTTACTATTTGCATATACTGCCAGAAGAAAAAAATATACCTATGTATACAGTTATGAGTTCTGTTTAAAGGTTTGAGGTTTGACATCATATTCCCAATGGTGCTCAAGGTAGATGTTGAAACTTGAAACTCATATAATATTAGCTGTCAAAAGTTCAACTTTCCCTCTTGTTTTAATCTCTCATAAAAGTAAAAATGTCATTTCAGGAAAAATTATTATAACTTCCACTAATTAAATCATGCAAACTGCAAGAAGTGCAGATCTTAACTAACAACTAATAAAAAGATAAACTAAGCACAATGTTTAGACTATGATATTTTATATCAAATCCCATTTTATAGGCTCTCTTTTAGTTATTTTTTAATATACATGCACATGTAGAGTAGAGATGGAGGTGCTATTAGTTTTGGTGAAGCGGTATATTCTTTTTCTCATTTGGTTTTTAAAACATTTCAGTCAAGAAGAAATGCAACAAAAATATATGAGCCAGAACAGTGCTGCCTTGGAGTTGATCAATAATGCCACTGGTGTTGATGAGGAAGGTCATGCTCACCAACAAATTCTTTCTTATGCTGTTAAAAGGTATGGCCATATTATTTGCTATGCGTTCTTTCCATGCTGGAGGGCTGGAGATCTTATAAATCAGGTTATTGGACTTTACTGGCATTGGTTTTAACTATAGTTTTGTGATATAATAGCTTTTGTTACTACTTCCAGTACAATTCTTTTCTGTTATTGATTAAAAAGGAAACATGGTTTTTCTTCAGTTATCACTGCCAAAGATTCATGTTTTCCATGAAAAAACATAGTAAGAGAACTACATTATTTTACACTTCAATTTTCTAGAAAATCCATTATATTTTCCTCAGCCATTAGGAGCATCATAACTGTTTTTTATTAGTAACGAGATCAAAATATGCATCATATGATGTGAAGGAAAAACTAACAGTATTTACTGATAAAAAAAAAACAGGATAACTGCTGACCCATTTTTTTGGAATAAAACATAAGAGAACATACTATCTTGCACAGTATGCAAAACAACAGACAAAGCTATCCTTCGTATATATATTATTTATCAGTAACAATATCAGAGTAGATTTTATTAATTCTCTTGCCAGAGAACAAGAAGGGACCACAATATAGATATAGTGCTTGCATTCTCTATTTCAGCAGACAAAGCTATCCTTAGTGCATTCAGTGGGCTTATAGCAACTTTATAGTCATATTGCTATTATGGGAAGAAATCCCCGTGCATTTCTTCTTTAGGCTTCCCCTTCATAGGACAAGTAGGAACGAATGAGAACAATGGAGCTGTTGACTTAAATTCCAAAATTCTCAGCCTTTACACACACATTCATTTTCATGCTAATGTCTGAGTAATTCATCAGAGTTATAGGAAAGTTCAATGACCTTTTTGTCCTTCAATTGTATGTTCCTCCTGCATGATGGTAAGACCTGAATTACCATCGTCCTAGCAGCTCCACCCACTAGCTCAAGGCCATATTGATACCCCTATTTATTGCAAGTCCGACCACTGTTTTGGAATTTATGGTGGCTTGCTAAACTTTCCATTTGGCAGCAAAAGAAATATGGAGCAGTGTATCCGATTGACTCTCATCAACTATAAAGTCCAATAGCTATTAAGGCAAGGAATCTGTGTGCATTTCCTCATTCACCTTCTCCTTATAGGACAAATCGATTAGAATGAAAACAAAGGAGCTGCTCACCAAAATTGCCGACTTCTCAGCCCATCCACATACTAAGACTTCGATTTTAGCAGCTGAAGAGTTCATCAATGATGTCTGAAAGATGTATGATAGCATTAAGATTAAAGTCCATGACATTTTGGTCGATCCATGGTATGTCCCTCCTACATGATGGTATGACCTGAATTACCATCACCCAAGCAGCTCCACCCACTAACTGAAAGCCATTTTGTTTCCCCTTGTTATTGAAATCCGAACATTGTTTGGAAATTTGTGGCCAGTTGCTAAACTTGCCATGTTGGCAGCAAGAGAAATATGAAGTAGTGCTTTCGATTGACTTGCATTAATTTTAAAGTCCTATTTCTATTATGGGAAGAAATCTGTGTGCATTTCCTCTTTCGTCTTCACCTTCATAGGACAAATCGGTTAGAATGAATAAAAGGAGCTGCTCACCAAAATTCCCGACCTTTCAGCCCTTCCACATACTTACATTTCGATTTTAGCGGCTGATGAATTCATCAAAGATATATGAAAGTTGTTTGATATCCTCAAGAGTAAGGTTCTAGGACTTTTTTGTCGATCCATAGTATGTCCTCCTACATGAAGGTATAACCTGAATTACCATCCTGCAAGCAGCTCCACCCACTAACTGAGAGCCATTTTGATTCCCCTTTTTATTGAAATCCGACCATTGTTTGGGAATTTGTGGCCACTTGCTAAACTTGCCATGTTGCCAGAAAGACAAATATGGAGTAGTGCATCCGATTGACATACATCAATTATAAATTCCTATTGCTTTTTATGGGAAGAAATCTGTGTGCATTTCCTCTTTGGGCTTCCCTTTCATTAGACAAATCGTTTATAACTAAACCAATTAAGCTGATAACCAAAATTTTCTACTCTCAGCATTTACACATGCTTACTTTTGATTTTAGTGGCTGAAGAAACCATCAAAGATGTACACAAATCTGTATGATATGCTTAGGATTAGAGGATACAATAAATATTTGTCGATCCACCGTTCGACCTTCGACATGATGGTATGACCTCAATTTCCATCGTCCTAGCAGCTCCACCCACTTCATCAGGGCCATATTGATTTCCTAATTTATTGGAAGTCGAAACAAAGTTTGGGAATTTGTGGCCACTTGCTAAATTTGCCATGCTGGCAACAAATCAAATGTGCAGTAGTGCATTCAGTGGGCTTACAACAACTTTATAGTCATATTGCTATTATGGGAAGAAATCTGCGTGGATTTCCTCTTTAGTCTTCCCCTTCATAGGACAAATTTGAAAGAGTGAAAACAATGGGGCTGTTGACATAAATTCCCAATTTCTAAGCCTTTCCACACACATTCATTTCGATGCTAATGGCTGAATAATTCATCAGAGTTGTAGGAAATTTGTATGCTATGGTTAACATACAAGTTCAATGATGTTTTTGTCATGCAATTGCATGTTTCTCCTGCATGATGGTAAGACCAGAATTACCATCATCCTAGCAGCTCCACCTAGTAGCTGAAGGCCATATTGATTCCCCTATTTATTGGAAGTCCGACCATTGTTTAGGAAGTTGTGGCCGGATGCTAAACATTCCATTTGGCGGCCAAAGAAATATGGAGCAGTGGATCCGATTGACTTGCATCAACTATAAAGTCCTATTGCTACTAAGGGAAGGAATATGTGTGCATTTCCTCTTTCACCTTCCCCTTGTAGGACAAATCGGTTAGAATGAAAACAAAGGAGCTGCTCACCAAAATTGCCGACTTCTCAGCCCTTCCATATACTTGCATTTCGATTTGAGCGGCTGAAGAATTCATCAAAGATGTATGCAAGTTGTATGATATCATTAAGATTAAACTTCTAGGTCATTTTTGTCGATCCATAGTWTGTCCTDCCTACAYGATGGTWTGACCTGAATTACCMTTGTCCAAGCAGCTCCACCCACTAGTTGAAAGTTAYTTTGATTCCCCTWTTTATTGAAACCGATCAGTGTTTGGGAATTTGTGGCCACTTGCTAAAGTTGCCTTGTTGGCAGCAAGAGAAATATGAAGTAGTTCTTCCGATTGACTTACATTAATTCTAAAGTCCTATTGCTATTATGGGAAGATGTCTGTGTGCATTTCCTCTTTGGTCTTCCCCTTCATAGGACAAATCGGTTAGATGAAAACAACGGTGCTGCTCACCAAAATTGCCGACTTCTCAGCCCTTCCATATACTTGCATTTCGATTTGAGCGGCTGAAGAATTCATCAAAGATGTATGCAAGTTGTATGATATCATTAAGATTAAACTTCTAGGTCATTTTTGTCGATCCATAGTWTGTCCTWCCTACATGATGGTWTGACCTGAATTACCMTTGTYCAAGCAGCTCCACCCACTAGTTGAAAGTTACTTTGATTCCCCTTTTTATTGAAACCGATCAGTGTTTGGGAATTTGTGGCCACTTGCTAAAGTTGCCTTGTTGGCAGCAAGAGAAATATGAAGTAGTTCTTCCGATTGACTTACATTAATTCTAAAGTCCTATTGCTATTATGAGAAGAAGTCTGTGTGCATTTCCTTTTTAGTCTTCCCCTTGCTAGGACAAATCGGTTAGATGAAAACAATGGAGCTGCTCACCAAAATTGCCGACTTCTCAGCCCTTCCATATACTTGCATTTTGATTTGAGCAGCTGAAGAATTCATCAAAGATGTATGCAAGATGTATGATATCATTAAGATTACTCTTCTAGGTCATTTTTGTCGATCCATAGTATGTCCTTCCGACATGATGGTATGACCTGAATTACCATTGTCCAAGCAGCTCCACCCACTAGTTGAAAGTTATTTTGATTCCCCAATTTATTGAAACCGATCAGTGATTGGCAATTTGTGGCCACTTGCTAAAGTTGCCTTGTTGGCAGCAAGAGAAATATGAAGTAGTGCTTCCGATTGACTTACATTAATTCTAATGTCCTATTGCTATTATGGGAAGAAGTCTGTGTGCATTTTCTCTTCGGTTTTCCCCTTCATAGGATAAATAGGTAAGAATGAAAATAAAGGAGCTGCTCACCAAAATTGCCGACTCGTCAGCCCATCCACATATTTACATTTCGATTTTAGCGGCTGAAGAATTCATCAAAGATATATGAAAATTGTTTGATATCCTCATGATTAAAGTTCCAGGACATTTTTGTCGATCCATAGTATGTCCTCCTACATGAAGGTATGACCAGAATTAGCATCATGTAAGCATCTCTACCTACTAACCGAGAGCCACTTTGATTCCCCTTTTTATTGAAATCGAAACATTTTTTGGAATTTGTGGCCACTCTCTAAACTTGCCATGTTGGCAGAAAGAGAAATATGGTGTAGCACATCCGATTGACTTTCATGAATTATAAAGTCCTATTTCTATTTATGGGAAGAAATCTGTGTGCATTTCCTCTTTGGTCTTCCCCTTCATAGAACAAATCGTTTAGAACTGAAACAATGGAGTTGCTGACAAAAATTTTCGACTCTCAGTACTTACACATACATACATTTCGACATTAGTGGCTGAAGAATCCATCATGGTTGTACAAAAATCTGTATGATATGCTTAAAATTAGGGGATCCAATTAATTTTTGTCGGTTCATCTTTCGTCCTTCCGACACTATGGTATGACCTCAATTACCGTCGTCCTAGTAGTTCATCCCACTACGTCAAGGCCATATTGTTTTCCCAATTAATTGGAAGTCGAAACAATGTTTGGGAATTTCTGGCCACTTGCTAAATTTGCCATGTTGCCAGTAAAATAAATGTGGAGTAGTGCATTCAGAGGGTCGACATCAACTTTATAGTCATATTGCTATTATGGGAAGAAATCTTCGTGCATTTCCTGTTTAGTCTTCC